GATGCAGAACAGTGCTAAGATAATCACTCTCTCAGCTCAGCAAAGACATTGACTTAACCAGGAAAATGTAACAATATCCCGGGTACTGTATCTGGGTCAGAAAAACAGGATTGGCCAGAGAGGGTGGATGGCTGAGGGGAAACAGGCCCTTTCCTTCACTACTAGCTGCTCATTCAAATCCAGCTCCATTTGGCAGCGACCCCGTCCCCTAGCCTGCGTGCAACAGGTTGCTAGCTTGCAATTTAGTGCCTGGTGGAAACATTTCCACCACGATCCGCACCATCACCAGGTCCCAGATCACCATCCACGGAACTGGTGCTTTTATTAGCAGCCAACGGAGGCCAAGGACAGAAGAGAGGCTGGACTCCCCACTCTCGAGTCAATGATTCCTTACACCCTGGTAGGGGAGTGATGGAATGTTTAGCTGCTGCTTCCCTGCACTGTGTGGATAAACAGAGGAGCTTGTCATGGAGTTTAAGGCCAGAAGGGACCACAACCATCTAGTCTGACCTCCTGCACATCACAAGCCACTAACCGCCCCCCAGCCACCCCCACACCATGCGCCACAACCAGAATTAGACCAAACTATTACACCCCTCTGGAGAGTAGACTGTTGTGTCCACAGGCTGAGAACAGGATGGATCAAGGTAAACTGATGCCAGAGGCCCCCACAAAGCTTGGTCTCCAGGATTTCAATCAGGTTTCAGAGTAGCAGCCATGTTAGTCTGTATTCGCAAAAAGAAAAGGAGCACTTGTGGCACCTTAGAGACTAACCAATTTATTTGAGCATAAGCTTTCGTGAGCTACAGCTCATCCGATGAAGTGAGCTGTAGCTCACGAAAGCTTATGCTCAAATAAATTGGTTAGTCTCCAAGGTGCCACAAGTCCTCCTTTTCTTTTAGGATTTCAATCAGGCACCTTTTACCGGCACTAAATAGTGTTTTTGGTTTTTGTTGTTGTTGTTGGGTTTTTTTGGGGGAGGGATGTTGTTTTTAAGCAAATGTGTTTTTTTTAAAATACCTGTTTGCATGTGCCACCATTTATAGATGAAAACCAGGTCGCCAGGGACAGAATAAGCCACCTGCCGGAATGATCAAGATGTCTAAAATAACATGCATCGTATGGAGATCACTTGAAAAAACTATCAACAAAGCGTGAGTCACCCACAGAGGAGTTTGTCGCTCGCAGCAGGTTCCGCTGCCTTCCACCTGACTCACATATCCTTTTCCCAATTATAAAAATCTCCAGAGATTTGCCAAAGACATGATTTTCATCACTATTAGCTAAATCCAATGAAAATGTCAACCAAGAGTATTCCTTTGTCTAATCAGCGGGCAGCTTAATGCTTCAGAAGTGGAGTGAGGGGACGTGGGGGAGGGAGAAATCAAACCAGAAATCTGCTCAGACCCCTTTGCGTGGCAGAAGCAATGCTCCCCTTTTAACCTCTTTGATTACTTTCAATTTGAAAAGCAAAGTAAACGTCTTAAAGTTACAAGATATAATTCTGCAGAGAACAGGACGAATTGCAGTGAAGGGGAGAGGTTATCCAAAATGTGGCTTGATCGATATTACTTATCAATAACACATCAGGCCAAAGAGGGGAGCTGTCTCTGACATGCAGAAGCGCCTGATGCCCGAGCTCCCCTGTTACCTTGTGTTTCATTAGGAACGCACAGGATCTGGCAGGGGCTGGTAATTAGATACAGAGTGTAGGACTGCTCAAGAATTCTCTGTAAGTTCAACACAGATTATCTCCACAACGCAATTCATTGATCAAAGGTGTATTCTTGGACTCCACAGTTAATTACACTCCCTGCTGATGGACGAACAGCAAAGGCATCTATGTGAAAACACATGAGCGGCAGAGGAACAAGCGAGACACTTCTAAATGAAGACAAAAAGGGCCATGGAAGGATCTCGGAGCTGGCAAGGGATTTTTGCCCTGCAGATGGAGGACTGAGCACCCTGCGTATGTACCTGGCTCTTTGGCTGATCCTCGAGCTGCTCCTCTAACAATTCTGTGCCTCAGACTGTCCAGTGGGTATAACAAGCAGGAGAAAGCAAGGTCTAGCGAACAGGCTGTGGATCTGGGAGTCAGGAGACCTGGCTTCTAATTCTGGCTCTGCCATGGACCAGGTTGTGTGGCCTCGGGTACGTAACCGCCCTTCTCTGTGCCTCCCACCCTTTGTTTGTTGCCTATTTAGACTGTAGTAGGTGCTACTAAAATACAAATCATAATACTTCCTTACCTCCCTGGTGTGCAGGGAGGGTTCACTAACTGATGGCTGGGAAGTGATTTCAAGTTCCTCACTGAGGACTGCCAAGTGTTCTGCTCATTATCGTTATTATCCACCAGCAAACATTCACGGAACGAGTCATGTCGCTTCTGCCCCTTCCCCGGGGGAATCCTGCGAATTAAGCCTTCTCCTATCCCCCTCTCAACTTTTCTGAACCGTTTCATGAACAACAGAGGCATGGACCAGAGCAGAGATCCAGTACTTTAATCGGGGGTAGGGAGTCCTACTCTACCACCCCCCGAACCCATCCCCCTGCCCCCCAGCCTTCCAGAGATCCTCTCACCCAACGCTGCTGGAAGAGTAACCTCCTGCTGCCCTTCTGCAGGCCACTGCCACTGGCAGAGCCACGGGGCTGATTGCACCCCCAGCGTCAGCAGGTGCCACTGGTCTGAGGTCAAATGGAGAGGCCTCCTCTTACAGCAAGCACATTGCCTCTGCCTGCCAGCCCAGCCCATGCCACGCTGGAGATCCCAGCTGCCACATGGCTTAGCGTGCTTTGCAGCTTCTCTGAGCAGGTCAATCCCTGCTCTGCAGAGTCTGGGATCTCCAGGGCCAAGCTGCAGGCAGTGTCAATAGATCAGAAGAGACCTGGACAGATTCTAAGGCAGCTCCATCCGTGAACTTGGATGATTATGCACGGAAGACATGGGGTCACTTTTGAAAACACAGGAAAGGCTTCTTTGAAAGGATGTAATTTGTTCTGCACCTTGCCCAACACCAGCAGCTGAGCATGGACATGACCAAAGCCTTTAAATGCCTCGGAGTGTCACATTTACCCTCCTCGTGCAAGAGATGTCCCCAAAGAGCAAAACGGGTTCCATAGAAAGCTTTGGAGAATGTCCTGTTTAGGCAGAATTCTCATCTGGTGCAATCTTTTCTCTATTTCTAGTCTCTTGTTGCTTATCCAGACCCAGAAGCACCAATGCAATGTTCTTGTAGCTCAGGCCGACTGCACATTGCGTGAGAACTAGACCATGGTCTTTAAGAGGCTCATCTGCTGTTTATTCCTGACCTGAAGTCATCTAGGCTGAATTCCAGGGACCTAAAGTTATTACAACTGAATTCCTAAGGAGGGAGGTATCTCCTCTTTAGGAGTGGTCAGAAGGAATGCATACATCTGAAACTCCTCCTTAATATGACAATGCTTGAAAATGGGATTACTGAATGGGCTTTGATTAAAGTTGAATCCGTCTCTGAGCCCCATGAAAAACTCTGTATGTTGCCAAGTTTTGATAAGGAGGGAAATCTCCTCGGTGTTGCTCCCAAGACTCTAGTGGCTCAAGAGGTCTCCAATTAAAACAGTCCACTGCAGTTCCTTCCCATCAAGAAAAACAACCAGAGGGAAAAAAGAAATGGAATCCAGAAACCAAACTTACAAAAGGAAAACAAGCCTGCTATTTTCCCAGACAACTCAATTCCATTTTCTAAACAAGGTGACTAACCAACAAATCTTTAAAATCTGCATCTCACACGAGTTTTGAACCCCTGGCCACAACAGCCTGTCTGACAATGTCTGGTTGGGAGAAGAAAACAGGCCTCCACCCACCCCCAAAATGGGTTTTACATTGGTCAGAAATGGTGGGATATTACATGTATATGTCTCAGATAGCACAGTGACGAGTGGTATATGAAAGCCTGAATTATCTGAGAGACTGAGAGATCCTGGTCCAATGGAACATCTTGGATCCCTAATACGGTGTTACCAAGTTATCACGGGAATGGCATACACAACAGAGAAATCAACCCAGCAGACTCTATTATACAGAAGAAGCTGAATTTGCTTCCCCTGATCCCGCCCCCCTCCTCTTTTCAGTTCTGAGAGAGGCTTCTGTTCCCTCCAGTCAGGAAACATGCACAGAACTGGAATGAGAACCTTCCAACAAACATGTCTACAAAACACTGCACCAGAGACAAACCTGCAGGCCTGGGAGAAAGTCATGGTTCTGACTGCCCTTCTCTCTGACAGAGCCAGCAACAGTCACAAAACGAACAGGGTGTGAAGCAGTGCAGGGATCAGACCTATCTGGACTCTTTCACTCTCACCTCCAGAAAGTGGCATGAAATACCCCTACACTGGCTTGCACCCGTGTCCTGGTCACACAGTGACCCCTGTGCAGCCCCTGTTCAGCTGCCCATGCAGATTACTCATTCATACGGCACACACAACCCTAATGAGGGAGGGTGCAAAGAGACTCAGGCTGGGCCAGTCAAAGGAACCAAAGTGTGGGATTTGGATGTGGCACCTTTGAAAATCCCAGGCCAAGGATGCACTGATGCCAGATACCCACACTGCACCAGGGACCCTTCTACGGCTCAATGCACAGAGGACACACAGAGAATCTAAACGGGGCAGCTCCAGGGGTTTTAGGGTGCCCAGGACCACGTACGGCAGCTGTGACTAGCTTCTTAGGCAAAAACACTGCCACAAATCAGAATTTTGCCCATAGAGTACAACACATGAACAAGCTGTACAAGTCAGTGCAGCACCTGTAAGTAACGGATGCAAAGATACCCTATCATTATAAATACAGTTCGTTTTAAATTGTCCACAGCACCCCTAGAAACAGTCCAACTATCCCACAATTGAAATCACACCCACAGGGAGAATACCATCATCAGCATTTCATGGCAGCTTCACTATTTATGAGAAAGAATCCTCAGCTCAGTTTTACACAGCCATACAAATGCCCTGTTGGGCCTTACCTTTTAAGACGCTAAGAATAGCATCGTTACTGTAGCGTTTCCGTGCTGCATTGGTCGCTACGCAGTGATAAGCCCCAGCGTCGCTTTCCTGCACATCTACGATTTGGAGGATGCCATTGGGAAGAGTTATAAACCTGAATAAGTAAAATAAAGAGCATGAGATTTGCTTTTCACAGAGAACACGATTCATGCCCTAGCCGTTGGAATGCAGCTATTTTCATTCCTTCCTTGTACTTGAAAACGTATTATGTGCACATCGCCAAAGCCTCGGCAGAGAAGAGTGGGCGACAGACTCTTTAACCTCCCAATAGGAGAGTTTTAAATACAGCAAAATGTACAACCCGTTAATAGCAATGGTTCAACGCAACAATAAAACTGCTGCCTTCTTCAGGCTAAGCCTACAGGTCTCTGCTGCAGAAAACATTCTATATTAAAAAAATATATGCACCCACACACACACATAAATGAGTGTGTGTCTGCATATGTACGTAGATCGTTAGTAGGAAGAATGCCATTTATTAACCTATAAGGGTATGTATATAAGTCGGCAAGTTCAGTGAGGCTGTAGTTATGCATTGCAAGTGGATTCTTTAGCTCTTATGATCTGCAGCAGAAGCTCTGCTCTGGGGTCAAAGGGCTTTTGAGTCCCACCTCATTGAGATGTGGCTCCTGCGAAGTCCTGGGGATTTCCTCTGCAGATTCCCGCCCGGAACTGTAGGAAAAACTGCCCCCAGAGAACCCCTCCTCTGGCTTTACAGTGAGCTTAGTCAGTGCTGTGTGCGCTCAAACAGGGCCCAGTCCTGCAAGACGCTAAGCACCCTCCAACTCCCACTGATCTGGATTTGAAGGTGCTCAGCACCTCGCAGGATCAGGCCCACAGTGCCAGAGTCATGACCTAGGCTAGTGATTCAGTACATCTTCCAGGCAGCAGTACCCTAGCCCTGCCAGCTTCTCAGCCGGCCGTGCCCCATCTGTAGATCTCCCTGTCCAGGTCCCCCAGTGCTGTGGGGTTGCAGGTAGCTTAGAAGACCTCTGAGCCCTCTCTACAGGCAAACTTCCCCCCACCAGGGGCTCACTCACAGCTGAGGGTCCACTGGGCAGTGAATGAGGCCAACAACCAATGTAGTTCAACGTTACCTACTCTACTGGCAAGTCTCAATGCCTGGCTTGATAGGAAGTTCCAGCAACCAGGGACGTAACAGCTACAGAGAAGGCTGCTGAAGAGTCTGTTTCCCCTGCCATCTGACACACATGTATGAGTAACAGACAAATATATTTGGCTATGCATGCAGACAGGTAACAGAATTAATTTGCCTATAGCCTACCAGCCACTCTGCTCTTCCCAGTTGTGAAACCCCCTATATTTGCCTTTGTTTGAACAAAGTGTCAGACCCGCTAAGCACCTTCTCCCGCAAACAGGATTTCAGGGAGTTGCCCTAGAATAAGGATCCAGGAACGCTTGTTTTAAGCGAACTCTTCATTAAATGATTTTCTGATATCTCAAAGCAGGAAGCTGCATTTTCTGCATGGAAGCCAAATGCAGGGGACCATGCACCCAACGTATGTACAAATAAGATACCGATAAGGAACTACTTCCTCCTGACAGCTCCAAAAATGAAAAGAAGTTTGCCCTGGAAGTCATGCTCTTTTGATCAGCAGACTCGGTTTGTAATAGAACGCTGGGTGAGGAGAAAGGGAAATGCAGACTAAGCAACGCCTACTTGCTTTAACAACTCCATGGGGGAGACAGCGCTGGCAGTTAGAGAGAACGACTGGGAGTCAGAAGTAGGGGGTTTTCTTCCCAGTTGCACCACTGATTCATTGGCTGGCCTCAGGCATGTAATTTTAATCTTTCTGTGCCTCAGTTTCTCCCTTCAGTAAAATACTATACAGCAGTGGTTCTCAACCTTTCCAGACTATTGTAGCCCTTTCAGGAGTCTGATTTGTCTTGAGTACCCTGAAGTTACACCTCACTTAAAAACCACTTGCTTACAAAGTCAGGCATAAAAATGCAAAACTGTCACAGCTCACTGTTACTGAAACATTGCTGATGTTCTCATTTTTACCATACAATTACAAAATAAATCAGTTGGAATATAAATATTGTACTTACATTTCAGTGTATAGTATATAGAGCCGTATAAACAAGTCATTATCTGTATGGAATTTTAGTCTGTACTGACTTCGCTCGTGCTTTTTATGTAGCCCGTTGTAAAACTAGGCAAATCTCTAGATGAGTTGATGCACCCCTTGGAAGACCTCTGTGTACCCCTGATTGAGAACCACTGCTATAAAAGTCTTACCTACCTCACGCTAGGGTTGCCAGGTGTCCGGTTTTTGACTCTGCTGAAGCTGCTCTGAATTTACAACAGGGCAGTGAAAAAGTGCTCACTGTTTCAAAAGAAATCACCAGCATGGGACATTTGCCCCAGAGGTGTAATTGGAATCCTGCTGGGATCATTCATAGCTTTCAGAATGGTATAAACTTTTCAGTTGTGCCTAGTGTAACTGAAATCAGGAGCTGGCCCTATAGGAGTAACTTAAAATAGTTTGATCAGGTGTAATAACAGAGGGGTCTGATCCTGAGTTGCTGTTAATCCACTGAGGTCAATGAAGCTAAGCCAAGTAACAGCAGCTTAGGATCCAGCCCACTATATTTAATAATAATCAGCACTTGAATAAAGCTGTTTACCCAGGGATCTCAAAGCAGTTTATATAGGAAGGCATTTCCCCGATCATCACTGAAGTGTTGAGAAGCGACTCAACTAGTCTCCCACAACGGGTCCAGGCCAGAGCTGGGGGTCAAACGCTGACTCCCAGTCACTAGACCACGCCTGGCAACTACTCGAAGCACGGCTCTGGCCACCCACCAACCAGGCTACCGTGGCTGACTATTGATGGATACATTGCTCTGTAATTAAAAACCCAGCTTATATGGCATTACACTGAATCATACACCTGATTAGCAATTAGCACAAAGAACAAGCTGGCTGTCAGGTTCTTCATTTTCTGCCTGGATTCCTACCCGGCAGCTTCTTTATTTCTTAATACAAGGCCCAAGCCTACGTGAGCCTTTTTAATTATAGATGAGACCCAGTTTTAATTGAAGAACGCCATCAGCAGAGCTGCAGAGCTTTGACAGGCAGCTCTGGGTTATGAGCCTTCATCGACGCACTGAAAGCGGATTGGTAAGGAAGGGGCAGCAGATATTCTGCCTGGGCGGAAGGGAGAGGAGAAGGCTGGTTTCATGGTCTCGTTGCTCTAATGCTCTACTCCAGCAAGTCCTGATGGGAAATTGAGCTGTTTCTAGCACGACACGTGGCACAGGTTCTCTGTTCACTGAGCCAGCTGCATCTTCAAGCATCAGCTCCCCCGTCTCGTGAACGCTGGCGGCTTCGAAGAGAGATCATTTTAAGGCAGCTCAGCCAGGGAAGTGATGCTGTCACCACGGGGCCCATCCTGCAGACCTTACTGACAGGAGTAATCTTGCTGGAGCCAGTGTGTCCACTCACATGAGTCAGGGCTGCAGGACCAGGCCACGTGTGCCCTTGACAGGACAGCATTATCCAGAGAGACACTGTGGGGGCTCGTTGGCTGAATGCAGCGGCACTAAGCCAAATATTTCTCTCTCTGTCGAAAGAGAGCTCCCCAGTGCGATGAGATTTATTTTTATCGCGCATCTGCTCTGAGTGTGCGTAATTACTATCAGCATATTTCAAACACCAGGAAAGGCATCTACCGGTTCCAAATAGAGAAGTCAAACACACTTCCAAAAGCATATGGCTGAGATCCATTATGTAATCGCTTTCTGCCTTGCGAGGAGGGGTTCCGATCCTAGAGCCGCCTGTCGAGATGGAAAATCCAGTTTACAAAAAAAAACAACCAACCAGAAACCCACCAATGTCCTCAGAGGGAGTTTAACACAATTAGCTCTCACAGCTGGTTTTCGGTAGCATGCCCAGTGTGCTCAGTACAAACTAAACACGGGCTCCAAAAAGCTCACAATCAAAGGGTCTGTCTACGACGACAGGCTACATCAGAGGCTAGCTGCTCAAATACATATCCAGGGCCCCCAGGCAGCATTATACAGCCCATGCTGCAGAACCTTTCACTGCTGTTGTTATCTGAGCTAGCTGAATCAAAGCTAGGTCAGGTATGTCTACACATGCTGCAGTCACACCTCTGACTGCAGTGTAGACATATCTAAGAGGCACACTGACCGGAGGAGGGGTACCACATAGAGGTAAACATGATGGTACACTGCAATGTATGATCCATCTATCTGTGTGTATGTGTTGTGTAGACTACCCTCAATTACTCAGCCTTGCCACTGTTTCCTTTAGGAGTCCTAACCGCAGGAAGGGCATGGGGAGAGTTACCAGGTCTTAGCATAAAGAAAAATCTCAAGGTCACCAGCTATCCAATATGTTTAACACAATCATTTTTGAGAGCCCTAAAGTACGGAGAGGGCTTCTAAGTACAGCCACTACTAGTGACTGTATTTCCAACCTAAATGCAAGATATGTGACATACTGCTCTCCCAAGGAAAGCACAGGCGTGCAAGAGAAAGACGTCTTTGTACTTGATCTTTCCCAACAGATCTCAAAGCTTCCAGCTATTTGCGCTCACCACAGTCATGCTCATCAACTAGAGACTTCAAAAGAATTTGGGGTAGGCATTTATTTCCCACTGCAATGTAGCAAAGTTTGCCGAATGATTCCGAGTTTTAGGGAGACTATGGCATAATGCTTTTTTTAGTACACAAAGAGCAGACATAGCCTTTCTGTCCAAATGACCTTCATTGCAGGTTAGGATAGAAATAAAAAACTAAAGTAAAGTCTCCATAAAAACAGATTTCAGAGTAGCAGCCATGTTAGTCTGTATCCGCAAAAAGAAAAGGTGGACTTGTGGCACCTTAGAGACTAACAAATTGATTTGAGCGTAAGCTTTCGTGAGCTACAGCATGGAAAACTGCATGCATCCGATGAAGTGAGCCATAACTCACGAAAGCTTATGCTCAAATAAATTTGTCAGTCTCTAAGGTGCCACGAGTCCTCCTTTTCTTTTCATAAAAACAGAGATCATACTGCCAGTGAACTCGTGGCCCCACTGAAATCAATCGGAGTTTTGCCACCGACTTCCTCTAGGGTGACCAGGTGTCCGGTTTTCAAGCAGAACACGCGGTCGAAAAGGGACCTTGGCGGCTCCAGTCAGGACCGCCAATCGGGCCGTTAAAAGTCCGATCGGCGGTGCTGCGGAGCTAAGGCAGGCTAGACCCTACCTGTCCTGGCTCAATGCTGCACTCCAGAAGCAGCCAGCAGGTCTGGCTCCTAGGCGTGGGCGGCCAGGAAGCTCCGCATGCTGCCCCCGCCCCAAGCATCGGTTCCGCACTCCCATTGGCTTTTTATTAGCTGATAACTTCTAACTCTACAAGTAGCTTTGCGTGTGATGCGGCTCTTCAAATATTTTGGTCAAAGACCAAAAAAAAAAAAAAAAGGCTCTCCTTCTTTGAAAGATTGCCGATCCCGAGCTAGAGCTTTCTTCAGGCCATTGTGCATGACTTGGAGGGTTTCTGTGTCTGATGATGTCTGTATCTCTTCACAGAGCCTCATCCAGTAATGATCTGCACAGTGTCTGCCTGCTCGCTGCACCTCAGGTTCTGCATGTCGAAGTCTCACTTTGGTGCTCCCTGTTGGCTTATTGTGTTCCAGGTAGGCTCTGTACTTAATGTTGATGAGAGGTAATAGTTCCGCTTCATTTTCTTCAAACCGGTCCCTTTTTAATGGTCTCTTTCCCCCAAATGTAGCTAAAAGCTGTTTCATGGATTGTTGTTATAGATTCATAGATATTAAGGTCAGAAGGGACCATTATGATCATCTAGTCCGACCTCCTGCACAACGCAGGCCACAGAATCTCACCCACCCACTCCTGCGAAAAACCTCTCACCTATGTCTGAGCTATTGAAGTCCTCAAATCGTGGTTTAAAGACTTCAAGGAGCAGAGAATCCTCCAGCAAGTGACCGGTGCCCCATGCTACAGAGGAAGGCGAAAAACCTCCAGGGCCTCTTCCAATCTGCCCTGGAGGAAAATTCCTTCCCGACCCCAAATATGGTGATCAGCTAAACCCTGAGCATATAGGCAAGATTCACCAGCCAGATACCCAGGAAATAATTTTCTATAGTAACTCAGATCCCACCCCATCTAACATCCCATCACAGGCCATTGGGCCTATTTACCATGAATAGTTAAAGATAAATTAATTACCAAAATCATATTATCCATCATACCATCTCCTCCATAAACTTATCGAGTTTAATCTTAAAGCCAGATAGGTCTTTTGCCCCCACTGCTTCCCTTGGAAGGCTATTCCAAAAGTTCACGCCTCTGATGGTTAGAAACCTTCATCTAATTTCAAGTCTAAACTTCCCAATGACCAGTTTATATCCATTTGTTCTTGTGTCCACACTGGTACTGAGCTTAAATAAGTCCTCTCCCTCTCCAGTATTTATCCTTCTGATATATTTATAGACAGCAATCATATCTTAAATCTTCCCAAAACTCCTCTGCCTTCTCCGGCAATGACTTCCCATGCATGCTAAGTTCAAAAGCCTTCACCAGCTCCTGGCATTTCCTCTGGTTTTTGGTGTTAATAGTGTTGATTTTGGGCTTGCTCCTAGGTTTTGCTCTATGTAGCTTCTTGGCTGTAATCTTCACATTGCTAATGATCTAGGCCTGGTCAGCATCACAATCAGCGCTGCGGAACGTGCAAGTGTTCTGCACTAAGGGTAGGTCTTTCCTCCTGACAATAACAAGGGCTAACTGGTGCCAGTGCCTGATTGTGGATGTCGCCATGACACTTTGTGGCGACCTTTTCCTGTAAAATATGAATTGGTAATGCACATTTGGTTTTGGGCACAGAATTCAAGAAGTCGTTGGCCGCTCTCATTCATTTTGCCAATGCCCAGATCTCCTAGGCAATCTAGCCATGAGTTGTTGTCTGCACCTACTCTTGCATTAAAGTCACCAAGGAGGAAAAGTTGCTCAGTTGATGGTATTCTTTTGATGACTTGATGCAAAGCGTTGTAAAATATATCCTTCTCCTTGGGGCTAGATTTGAGTGTTGGTGCATAGGCACTAATGATGTTGACAGAGCCAATGGTCATCTACAGTTCAAGTGAGACGATATGCTCTGACTTCCCAATGGGTGTTTCTAGGAGCTTTACCCACTTGTTTCTCACAGCGAGACACCGTGCAGACGATTTTCTTTGCTGCTTTTACCTTGCCAAAAGAAGGTGTAATTGGCCTCTTGGAGAGAACCAGCATCTGCAAGTCTTGTTTTCTGGAGTGCTGCAATGTCAACGTTGAGTTTGCACAGCTCTCAGTCTATCAAAACTGACTTCCATATGCTGCTTGTGTATTGTAGGTCATCATCATCTGTCGGAGCGCAAATGTACACACTTCCAAAGGCCCAGTCAGATGCCTACACAAAGATGAGCTGCAAAAATCAGTGGCCAGCTTAAGGCTTGCCTGGAATCTGGTATTGCAGAGCGATTCTGGGTTAAGGCTGCCACCTGTGACAGGTAAGCTCGCCCAGCATTCTGAGACCCTTCGGCACGAGGGGTGTGGCTGATGGACGGAGCAAACGTTCCGTGGCCAGCACGTCCTTGGGAACACTTAATTCTTTCAAAAGCCGATTGTATAAAGTCAACAACTGAAAGCAAATCTCCCTGAAATAGTATATTAGCTAAACATGATTTAACAGCAAGATCTGAAGCCAATGATTATGTCTGGCTGTTACAAGGAAAGCAATTTTCAAGCCGCCTATGTTGAAAGCAATCTCCAAGCAAGTAATTTCACAACATCCATCGAGCTGTCATATTAAAAAGCCATTGCCCTATCTATGGCATGCTTCCCTCCCCAACCCCACCCCACCTTTTTTTTTAAAAAAACACTTATTTTTCTTCTCATACAAAGCAACAACCTCCCACAAGCTTCAGATCGCCGTATGACAGCCTCAAGGATATAAACAGCTATTCTTACAGAAACATCCTTTGTTCCCAAATCATTTCTGAATCTTGTTGTTTTTTTTTTAATCCCTTCCTCCCCCTGCTCATCACGTGGGTTAACTTTCTTCTCTGGGGGAATGACTCTTTCTGCAGAAAATGAAACCTACCGAACTTTAAGGGACTAAAGGACAATGTCATCATTAGATCCATAGAAATCTACAAAGTCTGCCGATCAGCCACTAGTCCCCGGGGTCCTCCTCTCCTTCCCACACTACACACACTTTGTTTCAGACAAAGAAGCAGGGCAGAAGGAATTTTTTTAAAAAATTATTTATGTATTTTGCTAACAGAAAGTCCACGTTCTGACTGGATAGTCCCAGAGGATCCACTGACAGAAGCTTTAAGCCCTTGTTAAATCTCTGAGGGAAACAGGTTGAGAAAGAGAATTTGGAAATGTCTTCAGAACCAAACTCTGCATTCAGCTCCACCTGTGAAACACCACATCCCACACTGCACAGCTTAGCGACAGCCACGCAATCTCAGTTGGCCACGGATTTATTACAAAACACCACCTTCGGCACCAACCCTGCAAAGACACACGCTCAACTCTATGCATGGCAAGTAGACCCAATGCAGTCAATGGGGCTACTCACCATGCAGGACGTTAAGCACGTCCTTAAATCTTTGCAGGACCAAAAACTTGACAAAATATCAAATGTCTGCATTTCCTTGACACTCTTTATGCCGTTTGTCTCCTTCGCTATTTCTCTCTGTTGCCAGAGTGTCCAAGTCCCAGCCAATCATTAAACACACTGAATGGGCAAAAGGATACTTACAAACTGTCCAGAGTTGGTTTACTATTGCACACAAGCCTTTGATGAATGGGCATCTGGCACTCAACAATCCTGTTTGAGTTTGTGTGATTATTAGTCAATTTCACTTCCACGAAATTATCCATTTCAACTTATACAGTAGCTCTAATGCGGCAAATACCGCAGGGGAAGGGCATATTCTGGGGGAGGGCAGTTTCTTTTCTTTTTTCAAAGTTTTATGGATACATTTCTGTTGGTTCTGAGAACATTGGTCCTGCTTTGAGCAGGGGGTTGGACTAGATGACCTCCTGAGGTCCCTTCCAACCCTGATATTCTATGATTCTATGATTTGTCCTTACAAAGTGTAACTTTTAGGTCCAAAACTGCCCTGACACTGCTCCTTAAATTCCAGATTTTTATAAAAGACACTCATCTCTTAATTTTTTTATTATTAATTATTATTAATTATTATTATTAACCCCCCAAAAAACCACTAGCCACTCACCTGGGCTCTGCAGGAACAGCCGCTTGATCCTTCTCCCAGGTGATGACAGGGGAGGGCAGTCCTTCGATCCGACACTCAAATCGGACCATACCATTTTCTTCCACTGTCTGAGACTCTGGCTGTTGAAAAAAACGGGATAAACCTGGAAAAAAGAAGAGAGTTAATGCCCTGACATTTGTGCTCTGAGAAACAAACGCATTTTCAGACAGAATAGAAGAGAATTCATGTTTTCTCACACACACACATCTATAATAACGGAATGTACAAGCTAGGAAGACTTCTGTTATGTGGTAAAACTCGGGACTACAAAATAACCAGGCTGGACAAGAGAAATGCAATTCCTCACTGTCCTCCAACCCACTAGCTGGCATGCCCTTAACAAGCCTGGGTGTGTTACCAGAGGCATCTGAACATGCAAATTGGCCTCCTGCCTCATTTTTGCTGTAAATGTAACCGAATGGCAGAAGCAGCAGGTCCTTTGTCTGCCTGCCCAGCTGCTTTGCTAAATGGCCCTTCGGTTTCCAGTCATCCCGTTAGAAATGGGGAGAAGGATACTTTCTTGACCGCCAACCAAGTCTGAAACCCAGCTTGTTTTTGGATGAGCCCCAAAATTTGTGCAGAGAAGGGTGAATTTGACCCATTCAGCTCTGCCCAGCACAAGTGTTGCATACATGAGTGTAAAGCAGGAGGACCCACTTGTGCATTAATTGATGTTACATGAGCACCTGGAGGCCACACCCAAGGTCAGGCCCTGCTGGGCTAGGTACTGCATGGGCACATAGTGAAACACACTCTCTGCCCTGAAGAGTTTATAAGCTAAGGGAGTATTATCAGTGCCATTGCACAGATGGAGACCTGAGGCACTGAAAGGTGAAGGGACTGGCCCAAGGTCACACAGGGAGTGTGGCAGAGCCAGGAGCTGAAACCTGCCTGCTGAGCGCCAATCCAGTGCTTTACCCACAAGGCTGTTCTGCCTCTCACCAAGGAGCTGATTTGCTGCGAGGCCTACTTTAGCAGGAGTGAGGCCACAGAGGAGCGCATGTACCTAAATGCCTTGTCACAATGAAGAGAGGTGAGCTTCCCTCCTAACACACACCCAAGCCCAGCTCCCTTTGTCAAGTTTTGCTTCTTAGAGTAAGGGGCTTGAGACCTGCTTCTGCTCTTGCTTCTCTTTCACCCATGATTAGTGGGAGAAGGATCGGGCACCAGGGCAGATCTGAATGGACACTAAAATGCATGGCAAAACTCCCACTGAGTTCAATGGCGCAAGACTAGTGCTCCAGATCACAGCTATTTTCTGCTCAGTGTCCTGCATCGCACAAAGAACTGCAGGATCAAGGCCACAGAAATGTGCACTGATATATACAGTTGGCCAGGCTATTAAATAATGCACCTGTAAAATGTCTTAGTCACACAATGGACTTTCGAACACAACATGCAGACATCCTTAATAGGCTGTGGAAAGCTTTTATTCTCCTCAACCCGAAGAGTTAGAATTTGTTTTAAATGCATCTCCATTAAACTGCCTATGACATTAAACCTATCCTGCCTTACAAATGCTCTGTGCCATCCTAGAACACAAAGGACTGTAGCACCAAAATGCACAGCAAAGGTCTAAGCTAGAAAACATCGAATTCTGTTGCTCTGCCAAGCATAAAATTGTACTCAGCAGGTTCAACTTCTACCTGCCATGAGTGATCCTTTAACATTAGTGTGAAATTATTTATTACACTGATTTATTACTCCCCCCAAAAACAAGAATTGTCACTGAAGAAACTGATTCTCCTAACCCCTGGAAATAGAAATGCGGTGGTGAGGTTCTTTTCTTTTTAATTATTAGTTGCTACTGCACAGATAACTGAAAACTGCCCCACTGACTTTCTCTCTCTCTCTCTCTCTCTCTCTCTCTCTCTCTACACACACACACACACTTAATTGAGGTTGAAGCATGAGAAAGGATGTCAGTCAAAAAAAATCATGATTTACAAAATCATCCGCACGTCTATTGGTTTGTAGTTTACAACTTTTTACAAAAATAAGACAACTTTTGTGTTTCTGATCCCAGAACCAGTTTAAAGTGTGATATGATTTTTATTTTACTATATTTTTAGACCATATTCATGCTAAAAATGAAAGGTCCAAAGGGCAAAATGTGTGTATTGCACAAGTAGGCCTTTTAAAATATCGGGTTTCACCTGTTTTTGTGTGCAAATATTAATTTTTTTTAACAGACATGAATATGCAGCAGTGCTCACTCACCCTTGGAGCGCCCCCTTCTGTCAGTGTGGGATGTTGCTACTCTCTTGTTCTCCAGCTCCTCCTGCAGGCCGCCTGCCCCTGGCCCTGCCCTCTGGCCAAGTCACCTAAGTTCAGACCCCTCCCTCCTGGGCAGGGCCGTCTCTAGAGAGTATGGGGTCCAGGGCGGAAGTGGCAGATTCATCTCTTCCGGGACCAACCGTACTGGCCAATCGCACCGGCCCGCGGGGCCCCCCAAAGCGCGGGGCCTGGAGCAGTCGCCCCAATTCGCCCTACCGAAGGGATGGCTTTGCTCCTGGGACATCACAGATAAGCCCGAACTAAACTGAACAATTCTTCTGCCTTCCTGGGCTACTGAAGTTTTCTCTTCTCTGCTTACAAACCCTGTCTTAGGGTTCCCGCCTACAGGAGCCTACTATGTTCCATTTAAGTTTCCCTCCATAGGAGAGTCCTGCCTTCTCCACAGTCTCTCCCTGGAGCTTGCCCCTTTTTTCATGGCCCGCCACAGGAACCAATTCTGTCCTGGTGGCCTTCTTTAGTCTGCCGACCCAGGACTTTCCGGAAGGAGAGGCGAAAACTCCCTAACTCCTCTTTCCTGGGTCTTCCCTCCACAACTGAGCTCCCTCAAGGTGTGTCTACACTGCACTTAAAAACCCACTAGAGCCTGTGAGGTGGGAGGGTCCCAGAGCCAAGGCTCCAGCCCAAGCCTGCACCTCTACACCACAATTAAACAGCCCCTTAGCTCGAACCCGAGTTCGTCAGCACGGACCAGCTGTGGGTCTGTAATTGCCATGTAGACAGACATCCCCTCAGTCTATTTATAAGGCCTAACTCTGCCTCTTCTGGCCAGGAGGCAATTAGCTAATCAGCGCCCCCCAGGAGCGGAGCATGTTTAACTGGGGTTTTATCCTTTACCTTGCAGACAATGGGAGTTAAGCCCCATCACAGCACAAAATAGCAAAAGAAAAACCCAACCCCTAAGCATGGAGGCTATGAATTATATGAATAACCTATTGAACATTTAAACACTCTTAACTGAGGACAGGGTTAGCACTATCCTCATGAATTTTCCAGGGGGAATTTTCTTTGCATGTAAAACAAATTTTAAGAAACCCATTGTTTTCTTGGAAGAGTTTGAAAAAGAAGTGATCAGTTAAGGCTCTAGTTCAGCCATACATTGAAGTATTTGCTTACGTCTATCCCAACAGCACAAAATAATCAACAACATCTCATGATAATACTAATACCCAGCTCACACATAGCACTTTTCATCAATAGATCTCAATCTGCTTTACAAACGAGCTTAGGATCATTAGCCCCATTTTACAGATGGGGAAACCAAGGCACGGGGATGGGAAATGCCTTGCCCAAGGTCACCCAGCAGCTCAGTGGCAGAACCCAGGTCTCCTGGGTCCCAGTCCAGTGCTCTGTCCATCAGGACACACTGCCCCCCACCCCCTGTACGTAGTGTCCATTGACTGCAACAGGACTTAAGCACATACTGAAATATGATGCTGAAGCGGGGCCATGACGTTTAAAATACAACACATACAATGCACAGGGATCCAAGCACACTTTACACACTAGTCCTGTCTACACTAGGAAAACAACCTGTCATTGACAACAGGTGTTAACAATGGATCCCATCCTTAACTCTTCTCAGTTGGTGTGAAAAATGGTTTTGCCACGAGTACAGACAGGGCCAAATCATTTTTAGCTCTCGATAAAGCCTGCCAGACCCCACATTCCTGTAAAGGCCAAAGGGTAGGGAGAAGGGAGAGAGAGACCGCTGTTTTCACAGAACAGCAGTAAAAACAATCCACTTAATTTAAACAAAAAACGACACCTCGCTCCTTTCCACTTATTAACCACACACCTGGGGGCAGATCTTCAGGTAGTCCACCGGAGCGATGGTAATATGCAGATCTGCCCCGGATTTATATCCTGTCTTCACACACAGTAGCAACTGCTTGCACACATTACTCAATGGAAAGTCTGAGTAAATACCCCGGAACAGTTTTTATCCACTTCAGGCTGCGTTCTTTTTTTGTTGATCACCACTGTTATCGATGGGGCCAGGGGTATGTTTTGTTCAGGGCTAGGTTATTACATCTGGTAAAATACACAGCAGTGGATGAACAGTGAGCAGGGATTTTGATCTCCACGCCTGTAGTTATTGAGTACAATGTATCCAGGAGGATTATGTTCACTATTTAACACAAGCAATAGTGAGGTTGCTTCCTTCACTCCCATGAATCACTAGCCCTCCATTCACAAAAACATCCCTATTCAGCATGTGCTTAAATCCCACTGAAGCCAAATTCCTGTCAAAGTTAAGCACGTGCTTAAATGCTGTCCTAAATCCAGGCCTAGGTAGAGTGAAGGATCCTCTCCACCATAAACTAAGTACAGGAAGACTGGATGGCACAGGGGGGCTGTAACGGGTTATCAAGCTCTAACTTTTAAGAGCCTCTTTTCACTGACTTCAAAGGGCATTGGACCAGGCCCTAAGTCAGCCAAGAGCAGCTGGTGGCATCAGTCTGGTACTTTGAGGGCCGTTCTGAATTACTCCCCTAAGTCTGGCACCTTTGCTGGCAGTCTCAGAAGACAGGCCAAGGGCTGAACGGTGAACCCCTCCTTCGAAAGATGGCCCAGCCAGAGCAGAGCTGGGACACACTGGCTGGGCAGCCTGTGGCAGGGTGGTTTGCTGCTACCCATGGTACGTGAACAGGGGACACACCTGTGGTACGACACGCTCACTCAGCAGCCTACAAAGGGAAGCTTTGCCCATCACAGCTATTGCAAGAGATCCTGCTCTTTCATACACAGCGGAGATGGAGCATGGGTGGACACAGACCAATCAGTGGGGTCCCCTCACTCTGTCCT